CAAGAGAAGAAGGAGGATCTGGGGAGTTACAGGCTCATCAGCCTCACCTCAGTCCCTGGGGAGGTGAAGGAGGGACTAATCCTAGAAACTCTTTACAAACCCATGAAGGACAAGAAGCTGACTGGGAGCAGTCAGCCTGGATTTATGAAGAGCAAATGATTAACCAACTTCATGACCTTCTACAATAAGACGACTGGCTCAGTGGATGAGGGTAAAGCAGTGGATGTTGTTTGCCTCAACTTCCGTAAGGCTTTTGACACCATCTTCCATAACATCTTCATAGACAAGCTGACAAAATATGGTTTAGATAAGCGGACAGTGTGGTGGATTGAAAAGTGGCTGAACAGCTGGGCCCAGAGGGTTGTGATCACTACCACAAGTCCAGCTGGAGGCCAGTCACCAGCAGCCTGCCCCAGGGGTCAATACTGGAGCCAATACTATTTAACATCTTCTTTAACAATCTGGATGATGGGGAAAAGTCCACCCTCAGCAGTTTTGCTGATGATACAACACTAGAAGGAGCAGACTGAAACACCAGAGTGTTTTGCTGCCATTCAGAGGAACAGGCTGGAGAAATGGGCCAACAGGAACCTCATGAAGTTCAGCAAAGGGAAATGCAAAGTCATGCACTTGGGGAGGAATAAACTCATGCACCGATACATGGGAGGACCAGTGGGCTGGAAAGCAGCTCCACAGAGAAGGACCTAGGGGTCACATGTGAACAACAAGTCAACCACTTGCCAGAAACACAGCAAAGATGGCCAAAAACATTCTGGGCTGCATTAGGAAAGGCATCACCAGCAGGTGAAAGGTGATCCTTCCCCTCTCCTGACCTCTGCTAAGATGCATCTGGAATGCCGGGTCCAGGTCTGGGCTCCCCAGTAAAAAACTGACATGGACATACTGGAGCATCTCCAGTAAAGGAAAACAAAGATCATGGGACTGGAGCATTTGTCATATGACGAGAGGCTGAGAGAGCTGGGAGTGTTTAGCCTGGAGAAGAAAAGTCTCGGCAAGGATCTTACTGATTTGTATAAATATGTAATAGAGCCGGGCTCTTCTCAGTGGTGTCCAGTGACAGGACAACAGGCAATGGGCGCAAACTGAAACACAAGAAATTCCATCTGAACACTCAAGAAAGTTGGGGTGTTTTTTTTTATTATGGGAGTGGTCAAACACTTGAGCAGTTTGCCCAGAGAGGCTGTGGAGTATCCACTCTTGGAGATAAATCAAAACCTGACTGGACATGGTCCTGGGCAACATCCTCTACCTGACACTGCTCTGAGCTGGGGGATGGACTAGGTGATTCTTGTCCTGATGGACTAGATAGTCCCTTCCAACTTCAAGGATTCTGTGATCCTGTGGTTTAGGTGAGCACTGCTGCCTTTCAAATTGTCTCTGAACACAATGTGCTTCTCCATCCTGCCACTAACTCTATTATAGAAGGGCACTTCACCCAAGGTAAAATGTAATAACCATTTAGCTGTCCTGACAGGTGAATTTGCTGGTATTTTTTGACTTAGCTCAAACCACACGATGCTGAAGAGCAGATATTAGAAGCATATGTGGTAAAAAGCCACAACCATGCTCCCCAATGAGACCACATCGAACAATTTGTTGCTTCTAGTCACATTTGCACTACACTCTTCTACCATTTTCAGTAATTCTGTCTCAACTTCTGTGTTTTTGTAAACTGTTAAACTTGTGTCAGAGTCACCAATTCATACTGCTCCAAATTTGCCCTTATTTCCCCCTAGTGTAGACTTTAATTTATCTTAGATCATGAAAGCAGTTACTACAATACACTGTCATTAAACAGATGAGATTATAGACAGCTTTCTTTAATATTGACATTATTAAATAATGCTTAGACTATGTTCCCTTCCCACCTTTACTGCTTTTTCTCTTT